TGTACATCAATATTTATGACAATGGGCTGCCAACTAAAATACCTAATGCATATAAACATGAATTCTATCACCTGCATGTACAATTCAAGGCAACACTGGTTTTTAATTATTGAAATCTGGAAGACCACTTATATAAAGGCTTCCCAGCCTTTTTTGCGTCATCGTCCAATTTCACATGGGAAAAATTTCCACTACCCACTTCTATAGAAAATATTCAAAATTGTAACAGACTTGTTTGGTAAAAGTTTGTTACTGTGTCATAGACGGACTTATAAGAAGTGACGATAAAAATAAGAAAAGAAGGTAACAAATAACACTGACTGATATATATATATATATATATATATATATATATATATATATATATATATATATAAATAAATCGTTTTTAATAATATGCTAAAAATACCCTGTAAGCAACTGCTAAAAATCAGAGAATTTTTTTGTTGTTCTTGATGTTTCCTTAACTGATTTATATCCGAAAAATGATGTTATTTTTTTTGAAGAACTATTTCAATTTTAATGACCTTCTTAAGATTATAAGAAAATATTAATTGTTTGCGAGGATATTTATACTTTATCTGTTCCAATTCTACCCATTTAACTTCCTGTTTCTTTCTTTTTTTTTGCACAGATTCATGCATAACACCTTTAGATTTTTTTCGGTACCATATGTTGAAATATATACATTTTAAATCCTCAGAATCGTCCACCGGTAGGCGTTATCGCCGAGATTTATAAACCTTGACATATATGAAGGAATTGTTCTGGCGGAACTCTATATTTTGCATTTAGCTTTTTGTAGCAGCTAAGTAACGAATTGTTTTTAAAAGCATTTCACCCCAAGCGAGCCGGGAGTGTCGCTTGCACGCATGGCGTTAAAGAGAACAACAGTAAGAGTAAACAAGAGTTGTTGAGGAAAGGACAAAATTCAGTTATGCACTAATGGATTCGAGTGGAATTCGAATTCGGGTCTCCGATTCCTTAATCCGAGAAAGAGAATGATGAAATATTTAGATATAACCGTACGTTCTATTCTGATAGTTTCTTTTCTCGCGCGTTTCTCGACTGAGGAAATCTCTTCTTCCAGTTACTTCTTGTTTTCAGTTTCATTTTCGTCATCTTCTGACTTCCTGAATTCTGTTCTTTTATATACCTTTCCCTTCACTAACTTCTCATTCAATTTCACTCTCAGTAACCCCTCCCCGTTGCGTCTTAGCAACATTATCGCCTTGTTTGTGGTTAAATACTTAAACCAATGCTTTTACTGACGATCGGAAATTAATAGCTGATTTTTTTAGACGCATACTGAGGAAAGAATGTTTCTAAAATTTAACTCATAAATTAGTCGAGAAAGTTCTGATAACCGACTTGATTTGCTAGAGTGAATTGTTTCAGGAATAAATATCACGGTGAGAAAATGGTATATATGTCGTGTGTTCCTCCCTTCACATGGGGTGGTAACACTTGTTGGGCAAAATGTGAAACCCCAAACAAAAAAAAAAAAACAAAAAACAAAACAAAAAAAAAACACTATTCAGCTAAAACTAACTGACAATAAATAAAAATAACCAGCAATATATTTTATAGTAGAATTACCAACAATATATTTTGGAGAAAAAATGGCCAATAATACAGTTTTTTTTTAGCATTTTAGCCCAAGCAAGTCGGGAGTGCCACTAGCACATAAGGGGGTTACAGAGAGTGAAAGTAAGAGTAAAGAGGGGGTGTTTGAGGAAAAGATAAAGAAAAGGACGGGGAACAAGATCAAGGCATGAGAAGATGTCGATTGACATTACATTTGAATATTTGAAGATTATACCTATCAAGGAAGCAAGTAAAAGGAAGTGAGCTCCACTGTCAGGAAGAGCGAGAGAGTAAACAGCTGTTGGAATAGAAGAGGCGGTTACATTTAACAGTTTCGACAGTGAATGGGTGGGACCGAAATGCCAACCTAGTAGCACGCTTACAATAAGTAACTTTTGAAATTTAAAAATCATTTTTTTAAAATAATTACATTTATTAGAAACCTGAAATATAGTACAGATCTAGGTATAATAAACACTTTTAGCAATGACGTTCCTCTTCTACAAGATTTGCAGTGTCAGATTCCATATTTGACACGTAAATTCTCAAGTCACAACCAATATTCACTCGGGTGAAGCATCACGAAGTTTCCACGTTAGTATGCCCGAATTGAGACAGCCTTTCGGTCCAGTGTGGCGCCGCGAATATTGTCGATTTTAGTAATCCTAATTTTAAATTCATATTATTTAAATTTTCAAATGCAGATCTTCGACCGATCTTCCACGAACCGCTTGAGATTCGGACAGCATTTTCTAAACCTCAGATTTCGAGGAAATAAAAATATTCACCATAAACAAGGCTCAAGAGCCACATAAGGTAGAAGTAATGTGAACAGAAAGAGTAATAAGCGCAGCTTATGAAGAAAGGTGGAAAATGTTGTAACCTAGAGATGGTTACTGAATAGAATAATAGACTTAGGACACGAAGAAGACATATAAGATTCGCCAGCGGCGCGTAGAAGAACTAGTCAACTGCTAGAAGTGAGTCAAGTGGATTCCACAATTAATCTCCAAATGCAGGATATCTACCAACCGCATTACGTGATCAGATGTGACACAAGGCAGAATGTAATGTGTGGTATCACCGGGTCAGGTAGCTGTTTCCCGAGAGGTGAAATTCTGCTCTTCGACATAGCCTCGTCTGAGGATCCTCTCTACCCGGAAGAAGAAAGTTTGATGAGCAAAGCCCTAGACGAATCTCCAACTGTAGACCAACATACAGTATTTTCTACTGTATTTATATGAATGGGGACGTACCTATTATCTTCCTTTGCTATAATACAACAGGAAAGATAATGGTTAATCCTAGATTCGAATAGGATATGTTTCTAGTGATCGGGAAAGCATCCTCTTGGGAGCAGGTTCCACAAAGTAGCGGTTCGTGGGAAGAAGCATTTTCCGTACAACTGACATCTCACCAATGTGGAATATGAATAGAATGAAGGTGGTCCGCTAGAATGTATGTAGCATGTTAGGACCAACAAATTTCTTGTTGATAACTGACTCTTCTTCCTTAAATTGTTCACGTTCTATTTTGGATACTTAACAACTGTGAAGGTAAGAAACTGATGCGACGTAGGAATGTAGTTTGTCAGAACATTTTCCATGGATATAGCGACATATCGTCTGGTGGAAAGGAGTTGTAGGGTGTAAAATAACTCATCATTCACAAAGTCACGTAGACACTTTTGGGCAATAAAGATTGAACAGCTCCAACAGGAACAGTACCGGGAACCGGCCGTTTTTCGAGCATTTTTAGAGATGGATCGTATATACAAGTTTCACTTGAGGCCTTTTATTAATAGCGTAAGATAAGCTACTATTGTACCTCGTTAAGTATTCAAAGCAAGACCTGAAAAATCTAAGAAACAATCAACAGAAACAACCTAATGAGTGACAAGCAGTATGTATTTCGCTCCTCTATGTTCATTGCTGATGGAGTGTCATTACACCGAGAATCAGTCAGTTATTAGAGTGATTGCTTTAGATATCTTAAAGGTCTTTGAAAAGTTGTGCCATTAGGTGTTTGCTACAAAAACATACCAGCTAAAACAACTATTGAAGATTCTCAACAACAACAAAGTCCTACCTCTGAGGACGTTGTCGTTGATGGCACATGAGATGCAATGAGATACACATGAGATCAATATTTTTCCGCAGTAGGTTGCGATTTCTTTCTGCAGTAGACTGGTTACCAACCAATTCAATCTATCCTGCTATCTAACCCATCTCTAACACCAATGACATTATTAGTAGTTTCCTTATGTGGAAACATTTTCTATTTATTGACCGAACAGCCAGTGCCACGTAAGTTACGCCTTCTTGCACTCCCTGATCATCGGACCGGGATCAAAGTGTACTATTTTTTCTTGTTATCTCTAATTAGCCGGCCAAGTGCTAATCACGTGTCTTTCCCACAGCAGGTTTCCATTACTTTCTGTGGTAGAGCGGATTCTAACCAAGGCTATCGGTGCCAGTCTGTCTTGTTATTCATCCCATAATGTCATGGGCAGAAGATATGGATTCATGCCTTTCCCAAAGGTATCTGCTTGTAAGTGAATATAACGAACCCAACTGGGCTTTCCGTGTTCTCATTCCGAGCCCGTTATCCATTACACAACAACCTGAGCCTGTGTTGCTCAATTCTCTCTTTCCAGTCTTAACAGGGTCCAAAGCGTTTTTGCAACATTGTGGGCGATGGAATCATTTCAATCCTACTCTCTGAAACAAAAGAAACGTTGCAACTCTATCGCTGTGTGTTCACAGAAAATCTTCCAACGAACTACAGTTACTCCAGTTCCGATACTTACTGTTACGATGTCATGTACACAGTGTCGTCGACTCAAAGTTATTCTCTTCGGATACCATTGAAAAGAAGAGAGCTTCTTCCCGATAACTGCTACTTAACGAAACAGATCTCTGATTAATATAATCTTAGTCTTCATGGCTACAGTCAACCGTTAACTATCCTACATAACAAATAATTTGCAATTTCTTTTTTACTCTTACGTCCATAGAAAAGCCTCATTCCTGAATCCTTTACATTGAGAGCATCTTGGGCCTTGAATTGAGCGTACATTCAGTAAGGGAAATAATTTTTGTGCAAGCTCGAATGAAGTATAAAAATGTGTGCTTGATTTTGATTTTCTCTTGTCTTCTCGACTTTATAGCTGGTAAAATTAAAACTTTCCTTTTAGATCTTGATTTAATGCTTTCACCCAGACCAAGGCAATAAAGCTACTAAGACGAATGGGGTTAAAATCGTGTCAAAAATCTGATGCGTTTTATACTTTAATTTAAAACTCAATCCAATTTGTGCAAGACGCAAAACGTACAAAATCGGGTTAAATTTGATTTATTTGTTTACCGAAGACATAATAACTATCTAATGGTGTAGAAACAGAAATAAATTACATCTATACATCTGGTGGAAGAATAAGAAGAGCAGAGCTTGAAAACATCTGTAAGTGGACCGTCCAATCCTGGGAAGAGTTGGATGACGCTATCATTGTCGTAGCCTTCACTAAATGTTGTTTTTTCTACAAGCTCGACGGCAACGAAGATGACATCTTATACGAAGAATTCAGAGAGAAAAGGGCGTCAACGTAGGTACCAAAAGAAACCAAAGATGACGATGACGTAGATACTTACTAGGCAGATCTGTACCCCAAATAGACAGAGAAAGAATTCGATCAGATCTACCGGACTGACGATGAAGGCGAGCTTGAAGGATTCGATGAAGACGACCTTCCACACGGATGTCCATGAGAACAGAAAAATGAGCTGGACTCCTCATAAATATTCCTTTACAGGACTGCAAACTGTTTTTTAAGACTATACAAGAAATAAATTCGGTTGTCACAAACTACAACAAAAAATTAGAACCAAACAAACAAACATGTCAATATTTATTCAATTTTATTTCGAATATATTTTCTCAGTTCCGAATATATTTTCTCTGACGTTCCGGCGTAGCACATTTGGCGTCACTGATTCGGCGTAGCCGATTGGACATAGGAATTTTTCAATAAGGACTGTTAGGTGTCAGATTACTACTTCGTCGTTATAGTCAAATTTCTTTCTTTCTTTCTCTAGTTTATTAGTCAAATTAGTTTTTTGTCGTTATAGCTCGAATAGTCCAATTTAAGAAGAAGTGTAGTTGAAGGCATTTTTAAATTTAAGAAAAAGAGTAGTTGGAGGCATTTTTAAATTATATTTCCTCCAGTGAAGCATCATATTTTTCAGTCGTCAAAGCCCTTTTTATTCCAAATGGAAGTAAATATTTTATCAAAATGTGGAAGAAACAAAGTGATACACGATGGATACCTTTTACTTTTGACGCCACGAGCAAGAGGAATCCTGAATTAAAGTTTTGGCAATGTGAACAGAAGGATCAATATAAAGTGAAATTACACTATGAAATGAAGTTTTTAAATTTTTTTTAAATACAATATTAAGGAACTTAAAGAAAGAATTAAATATAAATGCAGTAAACTAGTAAAGTAAACAGAGGAAACTCTCTGATCCATTAATGGATTATGCAGGGACAGAACTGAAATATCTTTTGAAAAAGAATGAGGACATTTTGAACAGCATATAAAACAAATAACTTGTAAATAAAATTTTCATGTATAATTACACTCTTAATAAATTATTTCCTATGGGGATATACACATGAATCAGAGTTTTGGGGATTGAGACAAATTATTAAATTAATTAATCGAGTCTAGAAGAATCCTAAATAGAATGCAGGAAGCACTGGACGGCCATTTCGTCCTACCATCGTCACTGAGGCCCGATGGTATAGTTGATATGAAGCTTGCATTGTACCAAAATAGCCCGGTTTCGAATCTCCGTAGTGGATGCTGATGAATCTCAAAATAGGACGAAACAGCTGTCTAGTTCTTTCTGCATTCTGTGGAGTATTCTCCTAGACTCGATGAATTACTGCAATATATATATATATATATATATATATATATATATATATGTGTGTGTGTGTGTGTGTGTATTCAAGCATATTTGGTTAAATAATATAGACGTATTATGTCTGTTTATTTTAGTCGTAATCCTTTCAAGTTCACGAATTAATTTCTTGGTAGTTGTAGAAAATTGAATAAGAAAAATTCAAAAATTTCTTTTAAATAATTTTTATTTTCCTAAGTACTTTGAATCTCACCTGAGAGCATCTTCCATGGGTTGCATATCTATGGATGTGTTATGCGTTAACACCGTAAATTCAAAATATTTTTTACTTCTACGAAAGGGAGTTAACTTATGTGATTCAAAAAATCACTTGTATTATTTTAATTTAAAAATATGCTGTCTACACGCACACAGACACAGACACACAGACACACACACACACATATATAATTTAATAATTCTGTATTAGGGCAGTAATCCCTCTTTTATACAAGTTTCGTGAAAGTAAGGTTAAATTTTTATCTAATTTTTCTTGTATTCTTATCATTTTTTTTTCTTTTCTGGACATAAATTATGTATAAATTGTTAGTACGCCCGAGCGCTTTCGGCTATACATTTATACCTAGAGTTATATAACAGTAGACACATACGTAAAACAAGCCATATATTCATTTAAAAGTAAAATTAAAATAAAATCCTTGATAATGGCTAAAACTATAGCCAAAAGCGCTCTGACATACAAAACATTCGGACAATTTATACATAATTTATGTCCAGAAAACAAGAAAATTCAATAAAAAACTTAACCGTAGTACCTTGTCAGTCGTTTTTAATGAAACTTGTATGTCTGTGTGTGTGTGTGTGTGTGTGTGTGCGTGCGTGTGTGAGGATAAAATATTCCTTTCTGAACAAGTCGAAGGGGGAAGAAAAGTTCAGTTCACGCATATCCGATCATAGCATTTTTCCTATCCGATACGACTTTCGAGTTGATTCCATTAATTTTGGAAGACACACTCATACCATTTTTCCCCCTCATCTCATCTTCCTCTTACCGGCATTCGATTTAGGCGTCACCCAAGCGGCACAGGCCCCTAACATTAACGTCGCTCGCCGTCGCGATCTGAGCAACTCGACCAAGGGGAGGTAATAATGCGATAAGTGTCTCGGTTCCTCATATCACATTTGACAAGCAGCCCGTCACACAATTGAGCGGACAGTCGGAAAATGTCGTCGATCGGTACTGTTAACTAAAATCAACAAGCGGCAAGAATCAAGCCTGACCGGACAGGGCCGGAGTGACGTTTGAGAGACGCGATGAGTGCGGACATTCGTTAACCTTCCACTCCAGCAGCGACAACTCAAGCTTTATGAGCTGACATTCGGTTATTTTAGGCTATCTTTCGGAAAAGTAAGAGTTCGTTCTTACTTTCTTTCATTTTTTTGATGTCTTGACTTTCTCTTGGAGGTTAAAGCAATACAAGATTTTGTTTGAATGATTTTAAGGTTATTAATTGTTAAAAACGAACTGACGTGTCAGATGAAGCGAAAACAAGATTTTCTGTGACATACTGTTTTTAACTGTGGAAGAATAATTCATGGTCTGGATGAACCACATTTGCCTATGTCATTAACTTGTAAGGGCGTAACCTCTAAATACGAAGGATTAATGCATTTTATTAATGCATTGAGTAAATCTGTTTCTACCGGTCTGTGCATTGGAGAGGCTTTATAAACAGAATGTGTCTTCTGCCAGTGTTCGTATCTGCGCCAATTATTTTAGGGCTAAATATTTTCTTGAGAGTTTGGTTACGTTTCGTTTATTTTATTTTACGGCATATAGACCTCAGTGGGTTATTTAATGCCAACAAAATTTTTAGGATAAGTTCATATGAATAGAATATCTATTCTTTGTAAGAAATCAGTTTATAGATCAGGTTTCATTGACGTAGAGGGTTTTTGTCGAGAATAAAATGTTTCGCTGGTATTTTTACTATAAATGTCTATTTTTTATACGTTCATAGTGTTTTGACACCAGTCTGTTGGGACCTTAAAATGTGCTACCACCTAGTATCAGGGTGAACACTGGAACAATTTCTTGTTTGAATCGATTGAAGCATAGATCAGCTCACTATTATCATTATTATTATTGTTGTTGTTGTTATTATTATTATTATTATTATCATTATTATTATTAATCATATCCGAAACTTAATAAAATAAATTCTAATGAATTTAATTGATTTTATTTATAACCCGACATCATTACTTTTATTACATTTTATATTTAGTGGACAAGGCCATATCATGTTGAAACATCGATTCCTGTACGATACGGATTGGGACCAAAATGTGGTTTCTTTTATCTTCTTCTCAAATTGTAATGGTAATACGAGCCGTTTTCTTATAAGGACCGACCGAACTTAATAAAAATCTTTCTATTAAAACACTTTTTTAGGAAGTTTCTCAAGTCCAGACTTTTTTTTTACCACTCTTTCCAGCACTGGTGGGGATTTCCTTTCTAAACTTTTGTTTGCTGTAATGCGGAACGCTTTTTTATAATAACATTTTCCTTTACAGTCACGTGATATCAGTTTTGTTATTTTTTTTTTAAAGTCATTATGTGGTTTCTGTTATTTGGTACAATTCTACGTTTGTGATTCTGTAGCGCCAGTCCTCGAGGTTTGAAGACGGGCTGCTGTTGAAAGTCCTCAAGTGATGTGGTTTCTGTTATTTGCTATAGTTCTTTGTGCTTCTATAGTGCCAGTTCACGAAGTTCGAAGACAGGCTGCTCTTAAATGTCCTTAAGTGATGTGGTTTCTGGTATAGTTCTTTGTTTGTGATTCTGTAGCGCCAGTCCACGAGGTTAAGAAAAACTTGGTCCCTTCTAAGTTAATTCATTAGAAGCCAAATGATGAAGATTCATTGAATTGTTATGTAATATAAATGATCCAAATGACTGTGTTTGATGGGGGAATCTTCTCACAGACGAGAAGGAATTTTGAAGACGCGGGGATGTAGTTCTACAGAATGATGCTGGGAATACCACGGAGGAGCATATGAACCAGAAGGAAATTTTAAGGAAAATGAAAACAAAGGACACATAGACAGAATCAGAAATTGATAGCTGACATTTATTAGACACTTAACGAGCAAGGAGGCTCGGAGAATTCCACATTCAGAGAACATTTCAAGACCCAAGTGACAAGGGTTCGACGCAGCGTTAGGCGTGTGTGGTGAATGGATGACGGAGGGCGTTAGGGATATAAGAAGACAACCTTTGTTTAATGATTTCATTCCAAGACAGCCACTAAAATCTAAGAGGTTACCGATTCTGAGAGAATATGAGAAAAAGCCATAAGAGAGAACGAAATAAAAGAACAGGTGTTTATATGTTAATTATAAGTTCCTTTTGTCTACACTTGAGTATATATATATATATATATATATATATATATATATATATATATACACACACACACACACACACACACACACATATATATATATATATATATATATATATATATATATAAAGCTATGAAACACGTATCGAATTTATTTTATGGATTTTTTTACTAATCATAAGTTGAAAGAATGTGAAAAATCTCATATAATTTCTAGTGTATATATATATATATATATATATATATATATATATATATATATATATATATATATATATATTTAGGTATAAGGATATTAGTTTTTTGACCCTGGGATTCACGCTTTTACGATCATCAGAAAACTCTGATGATCAAAATCGCATATCCATACGACTGAATATGTTAGCTCTATCACTGATATTGAGCACTTTCTGCTAAGTACCGCGCATATAATAGATACACACACACACACACACATACATTATGTTTGACAATGATCCGTTCTAAACTACGTATAGTTACTTTAATTTCAAGAGAAAATAAAGACAAAAATTGTCCAACATTTGGATATTTTTTATTATGCTGTTCCTAATAAAGGTATATACAAATTTTGGACAATGTCTTTCTGTATTTTCTCCCGAAATTAAAGCAACGATACGTAGTTTAGAACGGCTCATGTTCAAACATAATAAACATTCGTTTTCTATTATATTTAACAATATATGTTTGAACATATATATATATATATATATATATATATATATATATATATATATATATATATATATGAAGGGTGCGATGGATAAATTATCGTATAAATTCAGCAAAAATTCAGAATAACATTGACATCTCATTTTAACAGATGTATTTACCAAAATTATACAAAAATATCTTGAGATATTAAAGAGTAAATCTATTCACTATAATCGCCACTAGTTTCAACCACAACCAGCAGACAACTTCGGAATCTCTCATGTATTTAATTATGATAGAATAACATATCATTTTTATTAATTCTAAGTTGCCAAGAAAACTAAATTTCGTTATCAAATAACCCCAATGCATGCCCTTAAATTAATCAACAGCAATCAACAACAGCATTAGGTTGGTGGCAAGGACTCATTATTGTAAAGTTTAACTGGATAGAGGTAAACCGTAAGTTTTATGCTAACAGTTTCTTCCCTCACACATCTCGTTTGTGGAACTCTCTCTCGGCTTCTTGCTTCTCAGTCAACTTTGATTACTGAGCACAATTGTTCGGTTTAAATTTCCTCTTTTGATCTGGAATTTAATGAATTTAAGTCCAGTACTAGATTAGCAGCAAGATCTCATCATTTTACAGTTGAAATTGTTAGATGTAATATAAGGAATAAGAGATATAATTATCTGTCCTTATTAGTTTAATGTTAGCCAATCAGTTTACAGTTGCTGACTGTCACGCTTTTCTACCTGTTTTGGAAGAACACTCACTCTTGGTAAGGCTTACGAAATAAAACACTTGCAGAACCAACCATCTCCGTTATCACCACAAAGTCCGTCGACTCTTCTTCAGCAGATAAGTTTGTTTGCAGACACCATTAAGTTTGCAAGAACTTATTTGTAATATTATTTAATACAACTTGTATAAATCAAAGGTCAGTCGCGTTCTATTCTTTATTTATTACAACGTCTGCATTCACCACGTGGTAATCTTATATGGGACCCAATTCAAGTTCAAAAATTTAAATGCAATGTCAATCGTTATATTATGTCTTCCTGATTCCTCTTTTTTTATTTCTTTTTCTCCTTAATAATGTTTTCTTTTTTTTCTCCTCATATTCTCTCACAGTAAACCCTTGTGTCTTAATTCTCTTTTTACATTAATAAATAAATAAAGTAGAAATTCAACAATAGCATTTACTCAATATCTTTTAATAAGCAAAATAGCATCCACCATAGCTAGTTTTCTTTACGCGGAAAGTTTTAAGAATATTTTAGATATTTTCCCCCAGATTTAATAGAATCTCCACATTTATTTTGACGATGTTCATCAAGGAACAAAACCTGTTGGTAAAGAAAAGTTATGTTTTCCTTTTGTTCATTTACATTCTCTTTTACATAAATGCCAACAGTTTTCTTAAATCCCAATAATGGATTGAATTCTGGTCGATTTTTAAAATTGCCTGTCTTTTTTACCTGAAAAAGAAATGATATTTTTAGAGTGACAACATTTACACAAAAAAAACATTTTAAAGCGAGAATATTTCCAATTTGACTTAAAATCTAGAAATTATATGAGATTTTTCATTCTTTCAACTTATGATTAGTAAAAAAAATCCATAAAATAAATTCGATACGTGTTTCATAGCTTTATATATATATATATATATATATATATGTGTGTGTGTGTGCATATATATATATATATATATATATATATATATATATATATATATATATATATATATATATATACTCAAGTGTAGACAAAAAGGGAACTTATAATTAACATATAAACACCTGTTCTTTTATTTCGTTCTCTCTTATGGCTTTTTCTCATATTCTCTCAGAATCGGTAACCTCTTAGATTTTAGTGGCTGTCTTGGAATGAAATCATTAAACAAAGGTTGTCTTCTTATATCCCTAACGCCCTCCGTCATCCATTCACCACACACGCCTAACGCTGCGTCGAACCCTTGTCACTTGGGTCTTGAAATGTTCTCTGAATGTGGAATTCTCCGAGCCTCCTTGCTCGATAAGTGTCTAATAAATGTCAGCTATCAATTTCTGATTCTGTCTATGTGTCCTTTGTTTTTCATTTTCCTTAAAATTTCCTTCTGGTTCATATGCTCCTCCGTGGTATTCCCAGCATCATTCTGTAGAACTACATCCCCGCGTCTTCAAAATTCCTTCTCGTCTGTGAGAAGATTCCCCCATCAAACACAGTCATTTGGATCATTTATATTACATAACAATTCAATGAATCTTCATCATTTGGCTTCTAATGAATTAACTTAGAAGGGACCAAGTTTTTCTTAACCTCGTGGACTGGCGCTACAGAATCACAAACAAAGATGCGCGGTACTTAGCAGAAAGTGCTCAATATCAGTGATAGAGCTAACATATTCACTCGTATGGATATGCGATTTTGATCATCAGAGTTTTTCTGATGATCGCAAAAGCGTGAATCCCAGGGTCAAAAACCAATATCCTTATACCTATATATATATATATATATATATAATAAAACAAAAAATACTAAGGGAATAAACAAATAAGTACGAATACGCGCATAACCCTAACACTAATAATAACACTAACACTAATAATATCCTAACATTATTAATAATAACCTAGTAACCTAGTAATAATAACCTAGTAATAATAATACTTAACAGTGAATTATAATCAATGAATAAATAGACAATGCCCTTCGTAATCAATAATGAATAATAAGTTAAAAGTTAACAAACAACCCTATACTTTCGCGGTAAAATGACCGCCTTCTGAGGCATAATCATTTCAACTGAATAGAGTTATTTGAAATACAACCATTGTCGCTTACTCAATAACCATCGGAAATACTTTACGTTGTTACCCTATAAATGACCAACAGATATGAATCGTCAAGACACCACACACGACACACTTGGTCTGTTGATTGCTTTCAGCCATTGAACAGGCTTTTGTCACTCGGTGTTGACCTCAGTGTTCACATTTATATTTAGACATGATCTAGACGATAAATAGAACATGCCTTGAAACTAGATTTTACAGTCCGAATTTACTCATTAGGCCAGTATCCTCAGGGTCAGTGAAGGATGTTACGATCGCTTCCGAAGATCGATAGTAACAAGATGTCCACTACTGGACAAAACGACTATGTTGAGATTCGAACCCGCACCTTATGCCGGAATGATGCAAACGCAACTATTGCGCGCGCGCACACGCACACACATATACATACATACATTCATACATACAGACAGACAGACACACACACACACCTTATGTCGGAATGATGCAAACGCACCTATTGCGCGCGCACACACACGCACATATACAGACAGACAGAAAGACACACACACACATATACATAGATATACTCGGACAGACACCCCCCCACACACATATATATATATATATATATATATATATGTGTGTGTGTGTGTGTGCATGTGTGTATGTATGTATCCCAGCTGGGATGTAGTAGATGATTCATCTTCATCTGGAATCCTAAGCATGGCTTTTCCAGACACAGGAATATCTCCATATTATATATAAGACCATTGCCTTTTGTTTCTCATTACACTCTGTTCGTTGTGTAGATAATGGGATATATTATTTTCCGCATGGAACACACTTCTGTATATATGATTTTGTGTATATGTCTTAGTGGTATTTGTGTATATGTCTTAGTGGTATAGAAGTCCCCCTTATTATCTGAGGCTTATTGTATTATTGTAATGGTTATTTAAAGGGCGATAACTCTTATATTTCAAATTATTCTAAAGGCTATTGAGTAGGAATCATTTTTCAACCGAATGCAGTTATTTATAGATAATTTATAGTGTTCTTTGCTAATTTTTTACACTTATTATTTATTATTGATTACTTAATTATTTTTCTATTGATTAAATTATATTTTTTATAAATTAAGTTCTTACATTTGTTTTATCCCAGATATTGAGCACTTTATCCCATAAATATAGCAAACCCATATTTTTATCACACGTACAAAACTTTGAAGCCACCCACAGAATTAGAATGTGTCTTGACAGAAGAGTAAAAATAAAAAATGAAAAGGGCTCTTTGGGTCATTGAAAAAACAATGGAATCAATCATCAAACTTTCAAAAATTTGTGCTGCAGTAATCAAGGCTAAAGGAGGCCAGTTTAATGAGAGTCAAATGTAATCATAAAATGCATTATTTCTTTTTGTCTCAATAAAATTTCTAATAAAAAATCCAGTCTAACTTTTTAAAACCATGTATAATATTTTTTAAGGTACAAAACAACTACTTTTGGGGCCAGCTTAAAATATTACCAAAGGTGGCATCAAATTTTTGAATTGTAGCGTATGCACACACACACACACACATATATATATATATATATATATATATATATATATATATATATATATATATCGAATCATTATAAACAGGACTTTCGTTTTTGCTATTGAAAGCGCCGTTATATTTAGAAGTAAATCCCACCAGTAGGCATACTGATCTTGCAGACACTCTCAGCTTATCCTTGTCAAAACCACTTCACAGTGATTGCTAAACAAAGTTGTAGCTGAATCGGCAAATGAAATCTACACATTGATGTTATCATCAAAAGCTGGTGGGTGTGGAGGGGCTAATTTCGAAGAAACTATTAAAATCAGACTGAGAAAGTTTCGGAAACAAAGAGCGCTTTCGACCATTTGTCCACTCATTTCATACGCGAGTATCTCTGGCGACTAACTGAAGCGTCAAAATGTCCGAAGCTATTTGTGCCGCTTGGACAGAAGGAGTATTCATCAGCCGTGCAGCGTCCAATGTACGGTGTATTATCGATAAATATCTAGCAATGGCCTCTGTACCGATGTCAATACAGATACAGATGTACTGGGCACGTAAAACTTGCAAACAGCGATGGGAACTATAATTGAATATGTCCTACTTAGAATAGGCGGGAGATACAGGTTCGCTCGCAAAGAAGAAAGCACATTTATAAATACATACGTTGGTTTGTTTTGTTTTGTTTGTTTGTTTTTTTTTTTGTTTTACGCCATATCAACCTAAGTGGGTTATTTAATGACGGTAATATTTTTTTCGAAAATGTATTGCTGGTAATATTTCTTTCTTCAAAATATATTGCTATTAATAACTTTTCCTTCCAAAACTTATTGCTGGTAATAATGCTCCGACGATCTAGTTTTCCCAGTTCCCAAACTGCATGAATTTAAGGTTAGCATCTAGGTCTCACCCTTTCACTGTCGAAACGGCTAAATATAGCCATCTCTTCTACTCCATCAGTTTCTTATCTCGCACCTCCCGACAGTGGAACTCCCTTCCTATCACTTGCTTCCCTGATAGCTAAATTCTTCAAATATTCAAATGTAATGTCAATCGACATCTTCTGATGCCTTGACATTGATCCCTGTCCTTCTCTTTATCCTTTTCCCAAAACATGCCTCTTTACTCCCACTCAGTGTCACCCCTTGCATGCTAGTGGCACTCCCGCATTGCTTGGGGTGATTTGCTTAAAAAACAAACATTATTCACAAAAATATATTACAGGTATTAAAATCTATTTTAACACTTTCATAGTATTTTGACCCCAGTTTAGGTGTTAACTATTTGCCCATAGCTGGGACTCTAACAGGTGCTACCACACCGGGAGCACCAGCAATTAAATGGTTGTTCCACACTACTCAAAACCTCCTGATCAGAGGCCTTGCTGTGGGACGTAGTTTATCGTCTTACCCAGGACGCAATACACACGTGTCTAAGTAAATTCATACATATACTGTATTATGCACAGAGAAACATGAAGAAAAATGACATAAAAATATTTATCTGAATAATGTTAGTGGTGGCAGGTTGCTCACATCCAAGTATGTCTGTTTTTTTGGGCGGCTAGCCAATCCCTGTTGAAGACGCCTGCTCAGGCATATTTGTATTTGTTCAAAACTCACAGAGGCCACATTTGCTATATACTGCAACTATACTGAGCATGCCTTGGTTACATTTTCTGGAAAGGGCACATTATCTTGCGTCATCAACAGTCTGAAAAAAGGCCGGTACGCCCAAACCCTCGGTCACGATGACTTGCTATTTAGTGCTAACTCAAACATCGACGTTTCCCAAATAGTTCCGTCTAGCCAATCATAACCCCAAGGATTGCTGTTGTATGGATGCATAAGGTGATTATCCCCCTTTGGTGGAGATAAGTCACATGGGTCACATCACGGCCTCTATACAGTGACGAAAGCGGCAGTCAATTTCATCAGCGTAACCGAGCGGTTGCTTTTTTAGCCTGGGTCAAGGCTTCCTTCTCCACCAAATGCTACAGTTTACAAGTCCATGATGCTGTTTCCTTTTGGGAATATTTATTTTCCAGGTATAGAAAAGAACCCTCAAGCTCGCAGTCCTCAATTAAGAAAACCTAAGAGTGGAATATGAGCTTGCCTGAGATGTAGTTGATGAATCTGTCTCATGTTCATCTCGAATCCTAAGCATGTCTTCTCCAGACACAGGAGTATTTCCCTATTATATGTAAGTCTCTTTATTTTTTGTTTCTCCTTACACTCTGTTCGCTGTGTAGATATATGTGATATATTATTTTCTACGTGAGACACTTGTGTATATATATATATATATTTTGTATGTCTTATTGGTATAAAAGTCTCTCTTAGAACAAAGTATGTTTGTCATTCCTTTTTCTTTCAGTCGTTCAGTTCAGTCTATGAAATAAGGTGTTATTATATCATGGATATAATAAAGCCTATAATGGGGGAAAAACAAATGGGAGAATACATCTTTCTTCTATAGCTCTCTCCTGTTATACTATTTTTAAGTTTTGGATAAAATTTTCTTTTATATTTCTTTATTTAAATTTGTATTTTCATGTAATATTTGATTTTTTAAATAAGATTTTCGATTGCTGTTTATTGATTAATAGTCTTTCTTTTATTTTATAATCCTTTGTTTTTGATATATTTGGATTTATTAGAATTAGTATAATTATTATTTCTGAATAATTCTTTATCTAAAGTTGATGCCATTGATAATCTATTGTTTGAAATTTCTTTGGTGACGCATTTTCATCATCATTAATTTGTGACAACTTTATTTTGTTGGATTTACTTCAACCTTCGTTTTATAAATCTATTTAAGCGATCGTCACCGAAGGGGGATGGTCACTGTCAGTTGCAACTGTACACGATACGCTGCAGTTGAATGAATAGATGACCGACTTTCAACCCAGACATTGGCACCCAACTAAGACATGAGGAGGGAGTAGGTCAGGTGTATAACTGCGCTGAAACACGTTTATGGGACTGATGATGATGATGATGATGACGATGATGATGATGATGATGACAACCCTGAGTACGACGTCGACGATGATGACGACAATGGCGACGATGATGATGATTATGATGACGATGACGACGGTGAATATGATAATGATGACGATGATTACGATGACAACGACGACGACGATGACAATGTTGATAACGACGGTAGAGATGACGACGCTGATGATGACGACGATGATGGAAACGATGATGATGACGACGACAGTGATGGCGACGATGACGATGATTACGACAATGATGATGATGACGATGATGATGATGATGATGTTGACGATGATGGCGACGACGATAATGGCGAAGATGATGACAACGACGATGATGATGACCGTTAAGAATATTTGATTGTTGTATTCCACTGAGATTTGAACTCGTTTTCCTTATCGTTGGGAGTCTGTCAAAGCACGCAGTGTCGCAAGAATTCACAACTGTGCTAAAAGAAGCAACAGAAATAAGATTAAAGATAAACTATACAAACAGACGTTCGCATTTATACGCCTGTCTGGATTGATCGTTGGATAAGCGAGAAACATAAAAATTATATTTCTTTTACAAGAAAGATCTCATTCCTACAAACACTTTTCGCTGCTGATCAGTTGCAGTCCAAGGAAATCACATTGAATATAGACTCTTGACATTCTGCATCACCAGTATGAATTAATAATATGTGATTCGTGCCAGAAAATAGCAGAGCTCTGAACGGAATTGAATCGCCATCAGGAACATTATTGAACAAAATTGTTTTGTGAATAGGCCAATATATACGAAACTCCGAAGAATCCTACGCATCAGTTGATCACATTACCAACAACGAGGCCCGCCCTTGGACATCTCTTGCCAGTATCGAGGCTACCATCCTTCAACATCGCCTCTACTAGGCGGGTCACTTGTCCAGAATGCTTCCAACTTGTCTCCCACGTATTATTCTTCCTGGAGAACTCGCCAGCGTCAAAAAGTTACGAGGAGGTCGAAAACCACATTTCAAGGATCAGTTGGAGACATCCTTTATACTGGCCAAAATCAACCCTGAGACATGGGAAAACAGTTACTGCAAATCAGCTTTCCTGACGTAGTACCATCCAAGGGGAGAGGCGATTCCAACCATCGGCATGATTAGGATCTTCAGCGTGCTGTAAGGAGCGCCCGACTCGCCTAGACGCGTCCACTACAAACACTCTTTCTCATGACTCTTCAATAGTAGTCTGGACCTTCACCACTATCTGCCTCACCGGCACCAGAGGGGAGAAGGAGAATAAGGAGAGAGGATGACGATCCCGAACTGATGCGAGTGGATGGTGACGACCTTATACAGTGTTCACACTAATAGACACAAAAGTTCTGTACACGACAAATTCAGTCTGTTTATATCTTCTCCTTCTTCTACGTGCCGTATTCTTTTAGGACATGGGCGGTCATTGCGCTCCACAACTTCCTATTCTTTATAGACCTTAGTAACGTTTGCCTCTTTGAAAAAAACGCACCTCGCTCCGCTATCCATTCACACAAACTCATCAGGTAGGTTCCCCGGTGCCTCCCTCTATCCCACTTGCTATACCTTGTGAGTGTCAAATTCTCCAAGCTGTCCTTCCTCGAAGGAATTTTAACTTTCTCTTTCTGATTCTGAGTATAAGTATTTGTTTTTTTTTTTCAGATTTTCCGGAACACTTCTTCGTTGCTCACGCCAACGGTTAGTGGAATTCTCATCATCCTTCTGTAGAGACACGTTTCTGTTGCCTACACTTTCTCTTTATTTGTGAGGAAGTTGTCCAGTACTCACTGCCATACAAGAGCATTGAAATAAATAATAGTTCAGCGGACTTTTTTTCTTTTCCACTCGGCTTAGGGTGGAAAGATATTTTATATGAGACTGACCACTGAAAAGTCGAAGCGACACAAAGACAAAAGGAGACGTGATAAACTACTTTTTTTTATTCAAACTCCCGTCGGATGCGTCTTGATCCTTGCATTTCCGGAAAGTGTTTACAATCATTATAATAATCAACATTATTGATGTTGTTGTAACAGTTTCTAAAGAAATTTTACGTTTTCTTAATACATTTCTTAGATTTTGAAATTGCACTTTCACTAACCCGATGTCCTTTCTGACTTTAGCATCGCAATCTGTTAAAACATTTCCCAGATATTTAAATTTTTGTTTGAATTTGACATTTCAATTCATAGACCGCATCGTAGGATTTTTCTTCAGTTGACAAATACATATTTTTTTGGTAGTTAGTCCTTTCTTCTCGCCTTCTTTCATTATCCTGTAGTTTTCTTTCTGCGCCCTAGCATCAACACAACTGCATATCTTATATTGTTAATATTACGCCCATCGTAGATAAGTCGTAGTGAGTTCTTTAGCTCTTTTAGGATCTCATCGCTTGAGAGCTTAAACATATCCGGTGAGAAGATACATCCTTTCTATTTTTTGTGTGC